ATTGGATCTTCCAACAAGATAATGATCTTAGGAACACTGCAAAATCTACGAAGAAACGGCTTACTGAAAATAATGTAAAAATCCTGAAATGGCCAAGTCAGTCCCCAGATTTAAACCCAATCGAGAATCTGTGGCGTTATTTGAAAATTCAAATCTAATCGACAGCTCCAACAAAGATCCCGGATCTAAAGACCATATGCGAAGAAGAATGGAACAAAATAGCAACTAAAATTTGCAAATCATTACTTGAGAACTACAAGAAGAGGTTGGTTGCTGTAAAAGTGAATAATGGCTGTTCTACAAAGTATTAAATAAACATCATGTATTCTTTTTTGCATTGTACGAATACTTTTTTCGCCCATTAAAATGGATAAATGGGATTTATTTCTATTGAAACAATTTTTTTTTTGTTTCCTATGCATATTTATTTATTATGAATCCGTGTACAGTTAATTATATGAAAAGTATGTTTATTCATTATTTGAAAATACAATAAATTAAAAATTTGTATGTGGACGAATATTTGTCCCCCCCACCTTATATATATATATATATATATATATATATATATATATATATATATATGTGTGTGTGTGTGTGTGTGTGTGTGTGTGTGTGTTGTGTAGAGGAGTGTAAAAATTCAGATATAAATAAAAATATATCTGTAAAAAAGGCAAATGAATTTATATATATATATATATATATATATATATATATATATATATATATATATATGTATATATAATGTTGTGAAAATAACTAAGGGTATAGAACATAAAGACAAAACATCTGTGTTGATGTCTACTCCGTGTAAGCAAAGATATTTTTTTCTTTTTTGCCCTTTTCAAAGGCTGTTTTAAATAAATCGTCTTTTAAAAACATTTCGCTCTATTTCTCTCACCAGAGAAGAGGAACGTAACTTGAGCCGCCTGGCTGGATGAGGATGAGATAATACATTTCATGATAAGTAGAGCGGAACTTTATAATTTTTACATTATGCAACAGTATCATCGTTCTAATTATTTTCTAGTGGCGCTTTTACCCAACGCTGTCTGGACGAAAGTATTTTTTAAACGCATCCTTGATGCTTTTTTAAACCAATTACTGTTTTTCTATGATCCATATTTAACCACTTAGTTAATTTATAATGAGAAAGGTAACGGACACAAGGCAAAAGAAAGAAAGAAAGAAAGAAAGAAAGAAAGAAAGAAAGAAAGAAAGAAAGAAAGAAAGAAAGAAAGAAAGAAAGAAAGAAAGAATGAATGAATGAAAGAAAGATATAGTAAAACAGAAAGCAAAATAGAAAGCCATGGAAAGAAAAGAAAATGAAGCAAACAAACGAAAAGAAAGAAACAAAGAAACAAAGAAAAAGTAAATTAAAGTAGAAAGCAAAATAGAAAGCCAGGAAAAAAAAGAAGATGAAGCAAACAAACGAAAAGAAAGAAAGAAAGAAAGATTAAAGTAAAAACAAAAAGAAAGAAATATGGTCATTGAAAGAAAAATATTGTGATAGATAGATAGAGAGATAGATAAGGAACAAAGAAAGAAAGAAAGAAAGAAAGAAAGAAAGAAAGAATGAATGATGAACATTGAAAGAAAAATATTGTGATAGATAGATAGATAGATAGATAGATAGATAGATAAGAAAGAAAGAAAGAAAGAAAGAAAGAGACTGTCATAGAAAGAAAAATATGCGAATGGTTTCAGGGATGAATGAATTAAAATAAATGCGAACATAGTGATGAACAGTCTGAATTAGTTCCGAATTTGGAGAGAGAGAGAGAGAGAGAGAGAGAGAGAGAGAGAGAGAGAGAAGGAACAGACAAACAAACAAAGTAAAAGAAAAAAGAAATATGGTCATTGAAAGAAAAATATTGTGATAGATAGATAGATAGATAGATAGATAGATAGATAGATAGATAGAGAAAGAAAGAAAGAAAGAAAGAAAGAAAGAAAGAATGAATGAATGATGAACATTGAAAACAATATAGAAGGCCAAGAAAAGAAAGAAATTGAAGCAAACAAACGAAAAGAAAGAAAGAAAGAAAGAAAGAAAGACAGACAGACAGAGGTGAAAAGAGATAGGGAAATGCTAAAGAAGGAATGAAAATCAGAAGATATGAAAGAATACAAAACCTGACAAGGACCTAAGAGAGGAGGGAAGAATAAAAGAAAAGGCATGATGAATAAGGAAAAGAGAGAAAAAAGAAAGAAAGAAAAAAGAAGGAAAAAAGAAAATTAATAAGAAAGGTAATGTAAGAAGAAAAGAAAAACACGCAAGAAAGGAAATAAGACCAAACGAAGTTGAAATGAGGAAGAAAAAAAAGAATATGAGAAAAAGGAATAAAAATCAGAATACATGAAAGAACAAAAAAAGAAAGCGAAAAAGAATGAAAATAGAAAGAAGAGAAATAATGAAAAAGAAAGAAAGAAAAGCTTATTTTCCTTGGAGTCCTTCTGAACTTTGTGACTGATGTTTATTAAGGAAAGCGTGTCAAACCTTAAGAAGTTGGAACAAAAAAGAAGTAACCCTAACACCAACCTTCTAAACCCCTTCTCTTGTCTGTTCGTCTCTCCCTGACCAACAACAACAACATATAAAAGTTTAAAACCAAACTCAACAATCATCTCTTAAAAAAAAATTAAAAATAAAAAAAAGGCGGGGAAATGAAAACTTTAGTCTCTGCATTTGAAGTGAATCCAAATAAAGAATTCGCGCCAGAACTCCCCGAAAGGTTAAGTGCAGGCATCGCTCAACATGCCACGCCATGTTTGTAACATAAAACAGGAAATTAATTCGGACCACATTTAACGTCAACCCACCAATACTTATTTAAATTGGACCATTAACGAGAACCCCGCCGGTTAATTACATAAATAACAGTTGGATAAAAATACAAACAAAAAAAAAAAATAAGTAAAATAAGTCATCTTTAATTTTTACAAGTATGGATTTTGATTGATTGATTCGTTTTCTACGGCTTACCAACCCTTTGATGGTTATTTAAAGCCAGAAAATATTTTTAGATTGTAAGAATTTTTTGTGAGGGTGGATATAATAATGATTTAGTGACACAAATGTTGCTAATTAACCCATAGTTGGGGAGAAGAGGTGAGCTCGTATCTTTTCCCAAGGCTTTTTGTACGTGACGGAATGTAACAAACTCGATTGGAATTCGAACTTGGCTCGCCGATTTCAAATTTTCGAGCCGTTATCTATTACCCTACCCACACATCCAAGCTCACGGAAACTGTTATTCCCAAGTGGCCACCCATCTAGATATTGATCAGGCTCGACGTTGCTTAACTTTGGTGATCGTACGGGTAACGGTGTTTCAACGTGATGCAGCCTTAAGTATTTTGTTACTTCACAGATATAATAAACACAAAGTCAAAGTTCAAAATACTAAACGTCGTGTGATTATTATTGCTTAAATGTTTCTTCTTTTGTTTTAAAGGTTCACATGTACTTTTTCAGGACGTAAGCGATCACGGATCTCCACAGGTTCTTTTTCCTTTATTATCTGTGAGCTCCGACGATAGTAAAGTGCTTTCCCATTGCCTTTTTCCCGCGGTTTTGAATAAGGAATGAACATTCTAGACTGGTTATCATTCAAGGCTAGAGAGCCCAGTCTACCTCACTATTTAACTCATAGCTGGAATGGCAATAGGAGATAAATCTATGCCTAGCCGAAACGTGCGTATAAGAGTCTCATCGATTCCACTTTGTCCACTAATAATCCGTACATAAATCACACATCCTAGGTTAGACTATTTATTCCATAACATACAGAATTGTGACCTAATGATTTTCTAAGCATAGTTTAGATGTGGCACAAGCATAGCTTATATGTGGCACCCAGTGAAGATCGAACTCACTACTCAGTTATAACTGATTTAGCAAGACAAGCTTGCTAACCGTTACACCACGTCGAAGTGGCCCACAAATCCTAGATTAGGTTAGATTAGTGGATTTTTTATATCCATTAATTCCTTAGAAATATATATAAATATATATATATTGAACTACTGAACACTTTGTTGTCATGAGTCACGCTAACTGAACCAAGACAATTCCAATTTTTGGCAGCAAAATATTTATGATCTTCAAATTTTGGCGCAAAAATTATACCTGATCACGTGATCATAATCAACCAACTAGGTTGCATTTTAAACAGATAGCAATCTGAGACCCCTTTTTTTGCATAAAACGGAAAAATTATCCAACTTCAGATCGACGCGTGACATATCATGTCATAGCCGTATGTCTCTCCATCACAGTTTAACTTTTGAAAATCATAGAACTGCAAAACCGTTCAAGTTACACTAAATAAATATTCTTTAAGACTCCAGTTGCATTTTCAACTTTGTTTTCCAATATATCAGTGTGGTTTATATATTAAAAAACTCACTTTCTTATACAATATATATATATATATATATATATATATATATATATATATATATATATATATATATATATATGTATATGTATATATGTATTTAAAAATAAATTTCAATTCTAAAATAACTATAACAGAGCGCGTGTGTTTTTAAAAACCATTATCATAACGGAATGCAAATTTTATCGCAGTTGTAATAAGTTTGTCTTTGTAATTTACCCCCTGAAGATGATCTTAAAAAAGATGGAAAGTACTTGAGTTAAGAAAAAAAAAATCTACGGCGCCTTCCCTGATGAATTTCATCTTAATATCAAAAAACTGATTAGACAACCGGAAAGGTACAATAGAAAAATAATTTGACACATTATGTCTATATTATTCAATGTAACATGTTTAAATAAATGCATAAAGATATACTTCACATATATATATATATATATATATATTGAATAATAAAAAATATTAAAAAATTAAAATCTTCAGACACACTGGGTTGTAGATTAATATTCTTTCGTTTTTTATTATTATTATTTCATTTAGATTCCTCGACTAGTTTCTGCCAAAATGGCCATCATCATCAGAAGAAATATTTCTGCTTGCTGGTAGCAGTAAACTAGAAATGAATCTATCTATCTATCTATCTATCTATCTATATATATATATATATATATATATATATATATATATGCAGTGAACTACAGAAATGAATATATATATATATATATATATATATATATATATAGAGAGAGATAGAGAGAGAGATAGATAGATAGATAGATAGATAGATAGATATATATATATATAATATATATATATATATCCGAAGCGATGAGAACGGAAGTAATATATAAATTCCAACGTTCACAGCATTAATCCAAAAGAGGGCTCAATACCGATAGTAGAGCGATAATTATTTATTTATTATAATTTTATCATATAGACAAAACCATTTTTTTTCTTTTCAAACAAATGGAAAAAAAGAAATGACGTTTCACACACGGCTTGCCTACGAGCAGGATTGTTCATAACGATTTTCGATTCTCACCCGTCGAAGTGCAGTGAAAATGCACTGAAACCAAGTTGCATCTTTGTAGGGAGTAAAATGGTTTTGTCTATATGATAAAATTATAATATATATATATATATATATATATATATATATATATATATATATATATATATATATATATCAAAATTGCTGCATGTACGGAAGAAGAGTAATCATTTGGTACGGCATGCTTTTATTTTAAGAATTTCTTTCAAAGTCCGATTATTTCATTTCACATTCATGATACTTATATAAAAATTCCCACCGGCATGATTATTCCAGACGGGACTTGGTATTTGGTACAAGAGATTAATTAAGTAACGAGTACGTAATGGGTTGTAAGCACTGGCTGGTGTACTTCTGTTCAACTCTCTTCTTTTTCGTATTCAAATTCTCTTTACAGAAGATGATAATGCAATTGCCAAATATCCTTTCGTGCAAACACTGAGGTCGCCAAGCGTCAGCGGTTTTGCTTCCTCATCATCAAGCCTATTCCATTTAAAAGGAGTTCAAACCTCCGGGGAAGTTCACTCCTTGCTTTCCCACTGTGCTTTACACAAAACCGTTTTCACACTCAGTGATTGACTGGTTATGTGAGAGAGATAAAAGAAGAAAGATGCGACTAAAGAGTGAAAGAAAAACTAAAACGGTCATTCATATATATATATATATATATATATATATATATATACACGCACACACACACACACAGTGTGTCCCATAAAATGTACTCACTTTTTGATTTCGTCATCAGCTTGAATATTTATAAACAGCCATTTAATTTAATTTAATATTAAATTAAAAATAAGCACCTCCACAAAAAACGCGATACTTAAAGTTTAAAATGTATTTTCCCAAATGAAAAATTTTTCTTGAAGCTTTTATTCTAGTTTTAATTTCAAGCTAAAAGATTAAATATAATATTTCCAATAAGCAAAATGTTCTGCTGTATTTCAAAAACTAATTTAAATTGACTGAAATGAGTTTTGTTGTTGTTTCGTTTTGCTAAAATAGTTGATTAAAAAAATCTTCCAAAAATAAAATATACTTTTCTGAAACTTTATTTGGGGAATATTAATTGCTTTAACGTATAATTAATCTGATTTGAAACAAATATTATTTACTTTAAGTTCAAAATATCGCAGAAATGCATTTTTAACACGACTGTCGCTGTGTTTTTAACCCGACAGTAGCTGTTTTGATTGGTGACAGACTGATGACAGTTCTAATGTTGTTCTACGGAGACTTTATCTGTAAAATTAAAGAAAATAACGTGAGCGCCTTTGTTTTTATATATAATTTTAAGTACTCAATAATCTTTAAACTTTAGAAAAATGTTCTCCGTAATCTAATGTTTTATTGAATTTTAGAAATGTTGACTTTAGATTTACTATAGTTATCGCTCTTATTTTCTGATAAATCGTGTATGGCCGTCCGTACTTACAAAAAACGGCCCGTTTAAAACACATGCAGAGATAGATTACAAAGATTTCTTTCATTTCCTTTCAAGACGTGGGTATTCATGGCTCTCCACGACTCCCTGTCTTTTGTTACTCTAAATAACATTTTTACTCATTGTCTCCCTTGCTTCTTTTGCCTTCAGTATGTGAGTGTTAAACTATTACCATTATCAATGTCTTGAAGAATTCTTCCTTCAATCTGCATGTTACCTTTTATAGCAAAACTCAGGTCGTTCTTTACATTCTACGACAATTAATTTATATTCTCTAGCCTAATCCGTAAGACGCTTTCCATGTGAGACTCCCAACAATACAAAATTTACCCAGGATCTAACTGATAATTTTCTGATCTATAGTGCTTACTCAACGGTTGTAGAATGTAAACAAAACCAGCGTTGTGATCAAAAGTGAGAAAAATAAGATTAAGTATGAAGTGTATCAAACACTTTTTCCTTTGTATTTGTTTTGGTATAATTTTTAATTAATATCTTTTCAATTCTATTTTGTACCTGTGAAATAACAGAACCATATAAATATGTTTTACTTGTAAAGTTCTGAGGTAAAGCATTAAAAATAAAATATAGAGAGAAAAAGAGAGAGGAGGGAAAAGGAAATAGAGATAAGTGTAGGAGAGAGAGAATGAGAGAGGGAAAGGAAGAGAAGTGTAGGCGAGAGATAGAGAAAAAGAGTGAGAAAGAGAGAGAGAGAAAAAGAGAGGGAGAGGAGAGAAAGAGAAAAGGAGAGAGATAAAGAGAGAGGGGGAGAGAGAGAAACAGAAAAGGGAAAGAGAAAGGGAGAGAGAAAGACAGTGAGAAGTGAAGGAGAGAGACAAAAATGAGAGAGAAAGTGGGAGAGAAAAACAGTGAGAAGTGTGGGAAGAAAAGGAGAGAGAAAAGGGGATAAAAAGAGGGAGAAGAGAGAGAAAGGGAGAGAGAGAAAGAGAGAGAAACGGAAAAGGAAATGAAGAGTGAAATGAAGAGAGAGGGAGAGAAAGAAAGACAGAAAGGAAGAGAGAAAGAGAGAGGGGAGTGTAGGAGAGAGAAAACGAGAACGTGAGAAAGAAAGAACTAGAGAGAAAGGAGGAGAGAAAAAAAAGGTGAAAAAGAGTTAAAAAAGAGAGAGAGAGACTAAAGGAAAGTAAGGGAGAGCGTGAAAGAGAGAAAGGGCAAAATAAAAGGAAAGTGAAAGAAAAAGACACATATGAGTGTGCGTTTTTCTGAGGACAGAATCACCAAAAATGACATAATTGATCATGCCAATCAAAGGAGTGAAACTACCATCAAACATCAGCAACTTCGATCGATAGTATTCCGAATGAATAACGAAAGTCACCCGAAGCAACTCCTCTATTCGAAACATCAGACAAGGATAAACAAAATGTGGTAAAAAAGAAAATACAGCGATCGGCCCAAGGTTAACGTCCATCAATTTATCATTCAGCCGTCAAATTATGAAAACTCCGCGTGTGAACAGCCAAGATGGAGAAGAATTTGCTATAATGGAACGAAAAATTGCAGATCAAATGTAGATCAGACGCAGGAGCCAAGTGAGAAGCACACAAGCAGCGACAAGATGAAGGCATCCACAACTCAAACATGTCTGGACAATTTCCTTGCTTTTATATGGAAGAACATAACTTTAATGGATTTGACTTCAGAACCATCAAAGAAAACATCTTGGACCTCTTTTCAACAACGAGAATCACCGAAGAACTCTTTATGTGTGTGTGTGTGTGTGTGTGTGTGTGTGTGTGTCTCTCTCTCTCTCTCTCTCTCTCCATATATATATATATATATATATATATATATATATATGTGAGAGAGAGTTTCAGTAAAGCATATATATATATATATATATATATATGCACCAAAGCTGAGTATCATTTACCATGTATTCAATTGTGAAAGCAGAATAACATATATCATGCGTTTATTACTTCAAAGCTCCCAAGAAAATTAAATTTCAGCATTAAATGACCCATAAGAAGTTGATATGCCACTAAATACACAAATCAATCAGTCCATGTTCGTACGGATGGCTAGTTAATCCCTGATGCAGACACCTACTCAAGCACATTAGTATTTCTTCAAGCCCACACAGTAGCAACCTGTGGTTTGTACTGCCAACTATACTGATCAGACCCTAGTTAAAGATTCTGGAAGAGAGATAGAACGCAACTCTGGCATGATCAATGGTTGAACCAGGCCAATAAGCTCAAAAACCCTCGGTCACGAAGACTGGTGACTTCGTGCTAGCATAACCAGCGAGTGATTTCGAACAGTTTCGTCTACGTGGCTTTCACACACTTACTAATGCCATCCAGAAGTCACCTCTCTGATAAATCGACTAGAGTGGAATTTGAACCCGGCTCTCATTATCGGAACGCTGAAGCTCTAATCACTTGGTCATATACATTACCGAGATCACAACATTCTGCAGTCCAATGATGAATAAAAAGCATGTATTTTATATATATATACTTACACATATCATACTCACTCACTCCCTAAGAACTAAATAACACACACACAGACAAACACTAAACAGAGACACATCCCCTCCAATAAAACTGTCAAACTGACCAGAGAATTGAGAATAATATGTATCTATCCAGCTCTTATCTCAAATAACAACTTAAAAGAGACTGTTTGACCAACACAAGGATTGTTAAAAGATTCATGTTAAAAAGATAAAAAAACAAAAAAAAAAACAAATGAAAACTACAGACAAAAGTTCATTTTCTCCATCAAGACATTCATTTCTGTAGTTTAGTGCTACCAGCAAGCAGAAATATTTCTCCTCCCGATGATAGTCATTTTGGTCGAAACTAGTCGAGGAATCTAAATGGAATAATAATAAAAAAAAACGAAAGAATATTAATCTACAACCCAGTGTGTCTAAAGATTTTAATTTTTTTATTGTTCAATATATATATATATATATATACAGAGAGAGAGAGAGAGAGAGAGAGAGAGAGAGAGAGAGAGAGTTAATACAAATAAAATTTGTCAACTGATTGATGTAAAATTAGTCACCTTGACTCCAGAGTTTCGGAGTCGAACCTTTTGGTTATCCTTCGTAAAAATTCAGAAAAAAAGAAAGAGAGAGCGCGAGAGAGAGTGAGAGACAGACAAACAGAGACAGAGACAGAGAGACAGGGAAAGGCTGAATGGTGCTACCTAAATGTCCGGGAAATTATTTAAACAAATGCATCCGCATATGCCAGCATTTCCCACGTCTCACCGGATATTTCATACAACTTTGGAAATCACTTTATCTGGAAATAAAGGACCTCGTTTCCTATGATTGTTTCCTTTGAGGAACCCATTTTACGTCTTTATTTGTTTTTGGTAGCACACAGACATATATATATATATATATATATATATATATATATATATATATATATATATATATATAAAATATATATATATATAAAAGCGGAAAAAAAAGACAAATACTCACGAGACCCAACACGTACGCACATCCACGCTCACATGGGAACGTACATCCGCACAGACGGACCCATGCCCGCGCGTGCGCAAATGTACACACGTACACAAACAATACAGAAAAACTTGCACCAATAAGTGTATAACAAAAGAAAAATCGAGAAATATAAGCAGTCAATTGCTGATATCCCCTGTAGAGTGGACGGACATATTCATGCGAGCGAGCACGCGTCTGTGTGTATGCGTGTGTTTCAAATTTGGTATTTACGGTCAGCGTTTATTTTGTATAAGTATGAAATAAGATTTATGAGACCTTCTGACTCTGATGAGCTACACTGCACGAAACCTTTACCATGGTTGGTTCATGAGTTTTTTTTAACATTTACTAATTCAGTTTAGAACATAAACTAATTTACCAATTAATTTTAGATTATAAACATATATAGATAATCTGTATACAGTGTAACCCGGATATAAGAGAGTTGTCGGGACCGGAGAAGAAGTCTCTTATATCCGGGTTTGGTCTATTTTGTTTAGGTAAGTATGGCTCTAATTTGGGACCAGAGAAAATCTCTCTTATATCCGGGTTTCTCTTATATCCGGGTTACACTGTATATGTGTATGTGTGTGTTTCTTACACACAATCACATTATGTTAGTGTGTACACGTGTTTGAGTAGACAACCCTATTTGCTTAGAAACAGTGAAATTAATCTACCTGCCTAGATCATCGAAAGTATTATTACGTACCTTTTAACAGGAATGAAATCTGTATTTACGTCTTTTTTACTAGAAAAATCACCTTTGCATTATTTTATACTCATAAGAAATATTGTCGGATTAAAAATCTGTTAATAGCTTGAATTTTATATATGTGTCTGCGTCTGTGAATGTTTATTTTTGTATCGACGTGCGTGCTACGTAAAGATTATATTGTGTGCATTCTCTGAGCTGAATTCTCGAAGAAAATGAGAAGAAAAATCGTGACAATTTAGCGAAAGGAATACACAACTTTATTGTGCATGAAATGCTTCAAAGGGTACCAAACTGTTAAAAATATTAAATTGAGGAACCTAACGTTTGTTTACTTCCCCTTTTCTTTCTTTCTTTCTTTTTACAATCAAAAATAGTTAAAATATGATTTTTATATTTGCTGTATGTAAATTAAAGCAAAAATAAGCATAAAGCTACCCTTTAAAATGAGTTTTCTCGCTTTTTTACCCGTCTGATGTGCATGTTCATACAAAAAACGTTTCTCGCCGTTTAAAGGTTAATTTCAAAAATAAATAAATAAAATTTTGACATTAACTTTATTGAGCAATTTACGATTTTGTTCAGCTATCTTCTGCCATCTTTCATCGTAATTAAAACACAAGAGCTTTAGTTTTCAGGTCATTAAAATATATAAAAGTAGCTTTTTTTCTATTGGGTTAGCCTCAGTTAATTGACTAAATGTGTCGATGCACACATCTATACAAAGGTTACAGTTCATTTGTGATGATGAAAGTCTTCCATAAAAGAAATACTTTTTGAGATAATTTATTTTAAGTTTTGTCTATCTTTCCCCTACTCCGTACCAACAGGAAAAAAAGGTATTGAGTATTTGGACAAAAAAGGTAAGGATGAGTGTTGATATTTCGAGGAATTAGGGTTGAAAGAAATAGATGAAAAAGTGATGGTTACTGAAGACAAGAAATAAAAGACACATCAACACTTATAGGTCGAGAGTCTAGATTCACTATCCGGTTTCTTTGATTATTTTTTCCCTTTAAATGACAGCAGAACTCCAACTTTAAGTGACCACATAACTACTTCCTTTTGACACAAATCAAGACCTGACTTAAGACTCGAATAGGTTATTTCTGGTCAATTAACCAAAAAGGAAAATTGTACGCCTCCAAATATTCTTAGATTTTTCTTTCGTTTTTTATTATTTTTTAATACACATTCACGCATTTATATATATATATATATATATATATATATATATATATATATATATATATATATATATATACATAATAATAATAATAATAATAATGGGCTCTCTCCGTCGGTTTCGACGTATGAGGATCTGACAGCCTATTGATTCCGTTATGAAAGTTTGAAAAAAAAAAAGGAAAATTGTCCGCCTCCAAATATTCTTAGATTTTTCTTTTTTTTTTTTATTATTTTTTAATACACATTCACGCATTTATATATATATATTATATATATATATATATATATATATATATATATATAATGGACTCTCTCCCGTCGGTTTCGACGTATGAGTATCTGACAGTTCATTGATTCCGTTATGAAAGTTTGTGCGATAATCTTAAGTGGCATTTAAGGCCCGCTAGTGATTTACAAAGGAGGCCACATATGGAGCAAGTGTGAGGATTGTGAGATGAGATCACTGTTAGATTGGGTGACCTTTTAGATCTTGCTCTCACTTCTTGAAGATTATTCAGACAAGCAGATTGAAAATTACTGAGTCCACTAAAACACGTTGATCTCCATTCTACCCGCTCCAATGCTAAGCGCTCATGGGTGTTATGTGGTATATTGACTGCTGTCAAGTTGCCAATTTGACTTTATCAAACTAATCAGATTTATTATTAAGGCAGACGTAAATAGTTGTGTCATCCGCTTACATATCAAATTGAGTAATCATGACATCAGGAAGGTCGTTGGTGAAAATTATGGACAACGTATGTCCAAGGATAGAGCTCTGGGTGGGGGGTTACACTTGCATTCAATTCAATGGTTAATTTAAAAAGTAAATAAAAAAATGGCATTAACTTTTTTGAACAATTTCTTTACTATATTCTTCAACTATCTTCTGCCATCTTTCAGGCAACTTTATAATTCCATATTCCCAAAGCTTTCTAACTTTCTCATTAAAGTACCACTCTACGTTTATTTTGCCTTTTTTCCAGGTAATTGATTTTTTTTCCCACAAAATCAACTCCTTTAAGTTATTGGTTGGTTATTTTTGTTTAGCAGCATATCGACACCTCTATGGGTTATTTAATGCCGAAATCTAAATATGAAAATTCAAACTTAATAATTACTTTAAGAGAATGACATTATTTCATGATTAAATTATAATCACTTAGCTACATTTTTTTTAACCAAATAATCTTACAAAATCAGGCGAATAAAGAAAACTTGTTTCTCCTTATAAGGAATGAGATTAATCATAGCAAATTGTGTTTTTTTTTTTTTTGTTTTTTTTTTTGACAATTTATGCTAAAACTTCAATTTTAACATAAAATGTATTGCTGCTCATTTTGATATAAAAATCTATTGCTGGTATTATATATATATATATATATATATATATATATATATTAGGTTGGTGCGAAAATAATGACGTAATAATGTCGTTTTTTGACGTTAAAAATACGTAAAAAACGACATTATTACGTCATTATTTTTGCACCAACAAATATATAAACGTATTGTTGATAATTTTTAAATAAAATATATTGCTGGTGTTTTCCTAGTATTTTGATTTCTATTGGGACAGGTCAATATTTGCCCCTAGTTGGGATCCTAACAGCTGCTACTACCCGGGATCAGGGTGTATGTGGGAACAACAGCAACAAAGAGATGGCTCCACGTTCCTCAAAACCTCCAATCTTCAGATCAGAGGCCTTACTGCCAGATGTAGTAGCACTATCCAATCCTTTAAAGATCAGAAAGAAAGATAATCTCAAGATGGAATATCCAATCAAATCGGCAGATGCGTAGAAATTACTACTTTTTTTTACAATGATGTACAAGGCCCGGGAGACACTTGAGGCAGAGTGTTACAGAGTAAGAGGTATAGTTTATGTGGATAGATGGGGAAGATAACGGTTGTCTCTAGACTTAAACAAGTTAAGATTGTATTGATCTGGGAAACATCCTCGGATGAGTCGGTTTCACAAACCAGCAATTCGTAAGAAGGAGCTTGCTTGAGTGGAACTTACATCTCACCAATAGAATACGAAGGGAATGGGGGCGGCTCGCTACAATGTGTGTGGTATAGCCGGGCATAGCCGGGGAAGTTAGAACTTCTGGAACAAAGGAATGTAATTCGTCTGAACACTTTCCATAGAAATAGCGATAGAGCAGCAAGAGGCTTGCGGTGTTTCGACTTCAAGAAAGAGGTGGTAGGGTGGGAAATAATTTGTCGCCGCAAGTTTTGAAAAGATTAGGATCTTAAAGTAAAATAACACCTGATAAATACGATTCCTTTATGAGTCATATTTATGGTTTCAAAAATATGGTTTCAAAAATATTAGTACTGTATTTTCCGGCTTACAAGACGCACCTTCTTTTTTTTTTAAATACCCTGAAAAATACGTCTTCCAGGACGAATGTAAGGCACGCCCAGGCTCAAGTAAACTTGGATGGTCACCTAACTGGCTTGACTATTAGGGACGTCGATTTGTATGTTGATTCATTCCACTATAATGTTAGCTATCTATCTAATTCAGCCTTTTATATGATGTAACATCAGTACTTAGTTGTTAAAAGTATTTCCAAGATTATAAAACTTCCTGGAGCCGAGCCACAAGCTTAAGAATGATCTGTTTACTATCAGCTGCGGGAGCCTTTCTGTTCTTGACTAGAATGTCATTACCATAAAAAACAAAATCGAACGAGTGATTAATGTAAACAATACATGGCGCCAGTATGTGAGGGACGTATGGTGAATGTATTGTTTTATGAGAATGATTTTTTTTTCTTAGAAATTTCTTTCAAATATTAGGGTGCGTCTTGTAAGCCGGAAAATACGGTAATCGCCGCTGGAATGTGATAAAATTGAAAATTTGTAAGAAACTTATGAACAACATTTCTTCTCTTTTGTTCTTTTTTTCCCACTCTCTATATTTCTTATTTCCTTTTTCATCTAATACAAGTCTTAGGCTCCACTCCATGTAAAGGGTTACTGAATGAGGTTGTTATATATGGGCGTGAGAGGAAGAGAAAAGCTCAGTTTATGAGGTTATGTAGGAAATTCTCCCCACCACCCCACGGGATGTTTCACGTTGAAACATCAGTTCACGTACCATCACCGAAGTTAATCAACGTCCATTGGTGACCGTTTGATAATACCAGGTGCTGTAAGTTTTGATGTGTGGGTGGTGTAATGGAAAATGTCTTAGAATTGTAAATCGAAAAGCCGAGTTCGAATTCTTGTTGGGTTTGTTATATTCACTTACCTTGGGAAAGACTTATATCACAAGATCATTATTATCTAAAAAAAAAATTATTTTCTGGCTTTAAATAACCTGGAAAAGGTTTATAAGCCGTAGAAAACGAATCAGTTAATCAATAATTCTCACTTCTAGCTCTTTCTTTCTCTTTGCTTTTATTTCTATCTTTTACGCTCTCTTCCTTTCCCACTCATCTTCTCTCCCTTTCTTTCTGTTTTTGCTTTATCTTTCTTTTTCGATCACTCTTTCTTTCTTTCTCTTTCTCGCTTTCTTTCTCTCTCTATTTCCTTCTCTCCTTTTTTTTCTTTTTCTCCGTCTCTTTCGCCCTCTCTTCCTTTCTCTATCTTTCTCTTTTCCTTTCTGTTCCCCACTTTTGCTGTCTCTCTTTTCCTTTTCCTCTGTCTATTTCGCTTTCTCTTCCCCACCTCTCTCTCTCTCTCTCTCTCTCTGTTTCTTTTATCATTTTCCCTTGATAATTTGTTGTCATAAAAAGAAAATATTTCATTTGTAAAGTCATTAGCCAATGGCGACTTCGCGTTGTTGATAAATAGCTCTCATTCATAACGGTGACAATCATATGATCCGGTTTTGGCACAAACAAAGACTGACAGGCCGAGGAAGTTCAAAGCTAACTTCAATGAAATCCGTTTGTCAAGTGAAAAAAATATAAAACAGTAGAACATAGTTCATCTCGTGCTCCTCCAAAAAGTGAGTTCAAAAAAGGTCAAGAAGAATTACTCATATAAGTTATCATTAACTGGATACAAGGTTAAAAATGCTGAAAATTCATTAAATACCAATGTTGGGGTTTTTTAAATCGTGTTTAAAATGTCTTTTAAAATATCCAATTCTTCATGTTATTCCTGTACCGTTTTCATCTTCAAAAAAAAAAAAAAAAAAAAACAGGATTTGCTCAAAATAATATCTGATAATCTGTGATGATCCCCGACGGCTTGATAATCTCCCTCACACCCTCTCTTTGTTGCTCTATCTTTCTCTCCTTCCTCTTTTCTCTCTCATCTCTCTCCATCCATCCATCTCTCTCCCTTTCTCTTTTTCTGTTTCTCCTCTATTCCAGCTAATTTTATTCACTTTATTTATGACTCTACCTCTCTTCTAAGAGAGAAAATGTATGTACCTGTTAGAGAGGGAGACAAAGAGCGAACAAAATGAAAGAAAAGGAATGAGAGAAAAATATGAGAATATATATGGGGAAAAAGAGAAAAGTTGTTTTATTCATGAGAATTTTTTAATCAATTCACCTCAAGAAAGGCGATTATGCCACAATGACACAAGAAGTTACTGGGAATGAAAAAGAATGAGAAGACTTTAGACGTAACCAGAAAACAAATAATAAACAGGAAACAAGGGATAAATCTCTATTCCTGTTCAAAAGACTGTGGAGGAGTGTGAACCGGGCAATAGGCGAATCTATCTACTCCTATTGAGTAAAAAACAACAAATAAATAAATACTTAATAAAATTTCAGAGTTTAGCTGGAGACGTTAGAAATAGAGTTGAAGTAGACCTTAGAAGGAGCCGGAAACACAATCATGAGCAGGAAACGAGGGATAAACCTCTACTCCTGATAAAAAGACAGTGGAGGAGTCTAAACTGGTCAATAGGCGAATCTATCTACACCTGTTGAACAAAAATAGCAAAGAAATAAATAGTAAATAAAATTTCAGGGTTTAGGCGGAAGTTAGAAGTAGATTTGAAGTAGACTTTAGAACGAACCGGAAACACAATCCTAAACAAGAAACAAGGGATAAACCCCTACTCCTGTTCAAAAGACCGAGGAGGAGTTTGAATGAGACAGAGAAAGAGAGGAGCTATATTACAGAATATATATATATATATATATATATATATATATATATATATATATAGCTACTACACTCGTCTCGGAAAACCTACGGTTTCTTGATTTGCTAATGACCAAATGAATCTCGAAGGTAAAAAATGTTTTAAAAAAAGAAAGAGCTAGGAACATGAACGTCTGTCGAAAATAATCGTACAGCATACAGGTCCAAAGCCCAAAGAAGAAAACCCCGATACGAGTAAACAACTAACTAAAGAGCTCAATACAACTGTAGAGCAGACCTAGTCAAACCTAGAGAGCCAGACAAACCTACCAAGGTTTCACCTAAGCGGATCGTCAGGAAAAGCTTTCCCTGACGATCCGCTTAGGTGAAATATATATATATATATATATATATATATATAATTACAGAATTATATCAATTATTGTAATTATAATTGTGATAGAATATATAATTATTTAACATCGAGAAATATATATTTCAGGAATATATATTTGGTAACAATTAATACAATCATTCTTATCTGGTTCTGTAAGAGCGAAACACCGCGAAACTCTGAGTCGATCTTCGTTAAGTAACGTGAAGTTTCAATATTTTTTGTGTAATAATTATTGCTGTAGATAGCTATTGAGCAAATTTTTGTCAAAATTCTGTTCACCTTGACGTACGTTAAATGATATAATTTTACGTATACCGATAGGTGTTGTTATTTTATTACACATAGATACATACGTGTGTGTGTGCGCGTAGTTAAAAATTTATCATATTTATGATCGAAGAGTGCTCAGTATTAGAAATAGAGTGTTTGTAGATATAGACTGTGTGGGCATAGGAATCAACACTGCAGGGTAACTGTCAGTTTCACGTGTCAATGGATTCTTAGACCAAAGAGAATATACACAAAAAAGTAATGAAATATATAAATAAATAGAATGATAAAATAAATAATTAATTACCGTAATCTTTTCTGTGTATAGATTACTAGAGATTATAAGACGAAGTTTAAAAAAAAAAAAAAGCAGAGAAATTCCGGATAATAAAGCTAATTTTCATGTATAAAACAATCCAGATTTTAGAGCAAAGACAATGACCAAAACCTATGAAAAAGGAAGAGAAAAAAAAATTTAAAAAAAAGATAACATTTTGTTTACTTTTGTGATTCGTAAGCATTACGAAAACAAAATAATGACTCTTTAGATCTAAGACCACTAAACCGCCAATGCACATTGAGAAAATAAATCGAAATAAAATTGAATAAATATCAACTTGTTTGTTTGTTTGTTTTTAATTTCCAGGTGACAGTGTAAGGTATTTTTTTTATCGTAAATTAAATAATATTTTTTACATTGAATGATTTCCAAACTCGCGTAGGTGTCTACTAGAACCGTACGGCACTTAGAGAAACATTATGAAAGATTTATTTCCTTTTGTTCGAATAGAATTAAATAGATATTATCTCTCGGGTTTGGTTTGGTTTATTTTGTTTTATGGCTTAAAAACCTCAATGGGTTATTTAATGCTAATAACATTTTTTATTGATGGTAATATTTTGTTTTGTCAAAAATCTGTTTCTGGTAATATTTTTCCTTCAAAATTGTATTGCTGGTAACATTTTTTTTCCAAAAAAGTATTGTTGGTAATAGTTAATTATTTGCCCATAGCTGGCACCCTAAAAGGTGCTACCACCCTGGGTCAGGGTGGACCTGGGAACACCAGCAATTAAGAGGTGGTTCCATGCTCCTCAAAACCTCCTGATCAGAGGCCTAGCTGCTGAATGTAGTTTATCGTCTTATATCTCTCGGGTAAACAAATAAATCCAATTTGACACGATTTTCTTCGCTTCGAGTTCTGGTATTCTAAATTAAAATATAAGACGCGGCAGATTTTTGGACACGCTTTTTAGATGAAAAAAAAAACTGCGTATTACGCTCACAAGAATTGTAAATTAAAATAAGCAAACTAAATGTCATGACTGTAAATAATCTAAAGTATTTGGTCTAAATAAAAGAAATGAAAATGTTCGGTTTCCTTCATCACTATCTCCCTAACCTCCCCTAGTCTCTTAGATATAAAGCCCAGGTAAGATCGCCCAATGATCAATATGTCGTGGGCCTTTTTGTTCATCTTGGATTGAGGAATCGGAGAGCAGAGTTCGAATTCCATTCGAATCAATTGCATTCATTTACGTGCTAATTCCTTTTGGAAAGCTATGAATCCTCTTCTTCTCCCCCACCCCAGCTATGGATAAATAGCAGGACAAAGCGGATTCTATAGGGTTGGATTGCAACTGGTCTACCGCAGAAAGAAATGGCAACCTACAAAAAATCTGCCTCGTCAGTCATGTATCGAAAGATACATGATCGCCTACGCGTGTATCACACATGGCACATAACTGACCTATCTCTGACATTCAATACATTCTCATACGTACACATACACATATATGTGTGTGTATGTGTACGTATATATATATATATATATATATATATATATATATATATGAGAATACATTCTTTCTAATTTACACACACACACACACACACATATATATATATATATATATATATATATATATATATAAAATTACTGTATACCACCTGAAAAAGCCGACAGCATGGCCCTTACGAAACTCTGGTGTCGGGATGCTGAATGTAACATCCATAACTAAGTGCCAAACTTATGTTCATATTAGTATATATATATATATATATATATATATATATATATATATATATATATATATATATATAGTTTTTACGTGTGTCAATTTAAGTAATTGTAGCTTCCTACTCGAACTCTTTGTATCCTCCTGTTTTCATTGATAGACACCAACTTACGTGTGGGACTCTCGTCACCATTAACTGTACGTTTCGAAGAACCTTCGCTGGTTTGTGAGCAAGAGATGCTTTGCACTTTTTTCTTTATGGTAATAAAACTACCTATGAGAAAATAAGGAAGAAAAGGGATTTGACTGTACATTCATACGCGCTCACTCTTTTTCAGTATCCTTTACATTCTTTCTCACCTACCTCCTCTGTCTTTTACCTTCCTTTTCGTTTCTCCTTCTTTCTCCCTAACAAGCAAACACAGACACATATTCTTGTCTCTTTTATTCTTCAGTAAAGCCACTAAGGCACAAGGAGTAACTGAGTATGAAAGAATTAGAAAACACAAACATTATTAAGGAGCTAGTAAATTAGAAGAGTAATCGGTAGATAACAACCGACATTGCATTTAAATTTTTGAAGATCAAAGTTGGCGGGAAATCATTGGGCCAGAAGAGAGTTCCACATGCGAGAAGTGCGAGATAAGAAACTGCTGACATAGAACTTATCGTCACATCTAGTCAATCCAATTGTAAATTGATGAGACCTTGTTGCTAGTCTAGTATTGCGCTTAAATTCATAAAGTCTAGGTACCAAGGTGAAGCGTTCACCCCCAAAAATTACCATGAAAGTATTTATAGAAAATACACAGGGAAGCTATATTACTTAGGTTGAAAATTGCTGCTCCTTCTTTGGATTTTATCAAGAATCTCTCTCTCTCTCTCTCTATATATATATATATATATATATATATATATATATATATATATATATATATATATATATATATATATATATATATATATATATATATATATATATAGGGGGGCAGCAATATTCTAAGCATGAACAGATATATATGTAAGATAGATTCGGTAGAGTAATGGATAGCGGCTCGGATTGAGGAACAAGAGAGCCAAGTTCGAATTCCAGTCGAATCCATTACATTTACTTACGTGCTAATACCCTTGGGAAAAGTATGAATCCTCTTCTTCTTCCCCAGCTATGGGTAAATAGCAGGGCAGACTGAGTTCTATTGTCTGGTCTACGGCAGAAACAAATGGCAACTTACTGCGGGATAAGATCCGCCTCGTCAGTCATGTAGCTTTCGATACATGACTGACGAAGCAGAGTGTATCATGTATGGCGCATAACTGACTGAAGATAGATTCTGGAGAGAAAAATTGTCTAGTACGACACAAAGAACGAACTTTCTTAGTAGCAGACTTAGCGATGAATTCTATATAGTTTTTCCACTTCATGTCAGCCGAGAACGTTAACTCGAGAAGGCGAAAATTCACTCTCCTGGGCGTTAGCATCAGCCATGTTAAGGGAAGGAGTCTCTCAGATGATAATTCAGTTCTATTTTTCTGCTTCTCTGTCTATCGCTTCTATCTACAATCTTTCTTCTTGGTTCTTACTCAGTCTTTTCTTTTCTTTCCTTTCTTCGTCTCTCTTCAACTTCATCCTTCTCCATTTTTCTTTCGTTCTTTTTCCTCTCTTTACTACATCTCTGCTTCTCTGAATTGTATGTGTGTGTGACTTTCTCTCTCTCTCTCCCTCCCTCTATCTATTTATCTATCTATCTCTGTCATTTTCCATTTCACTCTCACTTTCAAATACATTTTTTTCTCCTTTTTCTTTCCTTCACATTCACAAACAAGTACCATTTCCTCTACCCCTTCGTTTTCTTTCTCTCTCAAACATACACACATATATATATATACACCTTCTTTTCTCCGTATTCTTTCCTTCCTTCCTACTTCTCCTTTCCTTCGCCTTCTCTCACTCATATGCATTCTCACTCCCTCTCTACCTACTTCTTTGTCTCGTTTTGCTCTCTTCCTCTTTCTCGCCTTTCCTTTCCTTTTCTTTCTCTTTATCATGTATACGCTCTCTTTTTTTTACTTTCTCCCTGCTATACTCTTTATCTTACATATATATTATCTTTTCTAGTCCCCCTCTCTCTCCACTTTCTTACACTTTCTTATTCTTACAAACTCTTTTCTCGATTCTTCAGAGCAAGAAAGAAGGAAAGAGTTGCAGAAACGCAACGACCCGCATGATAAAAATCATTTTCGGTGTTTTGCACCGTGTGGTGACGATGAGAAAGAAACTCCTCGGAAAGTCTAGCGTGGTTCTGTTGCAGGTGAAGTAAGGGTCGAATGTAGCGGGGTGTATAGCTTTTCCCTGGGATGCGAGGGAGCGGTAATAAGGATTGGGCCCCTGTTTTGTAACGGAACGTTCGGTGCAGGACCCTTCCAACATTCTACAAACATATTAGTCTGGCAGCGGTAACCGGCAGTTATTTCAGACATGACACCACTCTACGTTTCTTTCTTTTTTTTTTTTTTTTTTTTTGTTTTTGTTTTGTTTTCATTTTTTGTTAATACCTCTCCAGAATCCGAAAAAAACATTTTGTCTGGGCAATAAAAACGTCCCTCCTCTTTCTACTTACTTATTTAATATTAATCACACGCATACATGGAAAGAAAAGGACGAGCGGAGACAAAGAGTGAATGAGAGAGAGAGAGAGAGAGAGAGAGATAAAGAGAGTGTGATCTAAAAAAGGAAAGAGGGTTTAGCGGAGACAGGGAGAAAGATTAACTAAAGGAAAGAGAGTTTAGCAAAGAGAGAGAGAGAGGGGGGATTAAATAAGGGAAAACGAGTTTAGTTAAGAGAGATAGGAGGAGGTTAAATAAATGAAAGAGAGATTAACAGAGAGAGAATGAAATTAAATAAGGGAAAGAGAGTTTATCAAAGAGAGAGGGGTTAAATAAGGGGAAAAGAGTTCAGTAGAGAGAGAGAGAGAGAGAAAGAGGAGGTGGTTAAATAAAGGAAAGAGAGTCTAACAGAGATAGAGTGAAATTAAATAAAGGAAAGAGAGTTTAGCAATGCGAGAGGGGGATTAAATAAGGAAAAACAGTTTAGTAGAGAGAGCGGAGGAGGAGGTTGGATAAAATAAAGGGATTTGAACAGAGAGAATAATCGAAATAAAAGAAAAATAGTATGTTTTAATTCTTACACGTGCATATATACGTACACACTGACACACGCACATAGATACACACATACATACATACACAAACATATACATACTCACAAATACATACATATATATATATATACAACCATACACACACATATATGCACAACATGCATACATATATACACATATATACATACATGCACACACTCAATACATACATACACACATATATATATACACACACATGTACATACATACAGATATAAATACAAATTTGGTCAAATACCAAAGAAATAGTTAATTATTTTTTCCGATGTTCTAATAGATTAGGTTAGCGTTAGCCATTATTATTATCAAACATAGGAAAATATATTTGCAAATACGAATCTGAAAAAAAAAATCCTTAAAAGAATAAATTTAAAAAATAGTCTACATTTTAGTTGGTATCTAACCAAATTTGCATAAACGAAAAATAGTTGCCCAAATATACCATATATATATATATATATATATATATATATATATATATATATATGGTGGTACTCGCTTGGAAAAACCTTGGATAGCTCGACTTGCAGTAAAATGAGGAATAAGAAAAAAGAAAAAAACCTCCAAAACGAGTAAAAAGACAACTACGTAAAGTGCTCAATACACAAAGCAGAGCAACCTAAGATAACCCTAAGAAGCCAGACAAACCTACGTAGGTTTCACCTAAACGGCTCAATTAGGGCAATACATATACAAGGAGACTTGCATAATTCATTATAGGATCCTTGCGCAACACTTGTTCAAAGAGTTGTTTTTTGATGAAGTACATTGGTCGAAACTTAACAGAGATCTTATTTAAGGGATCTCTATTGCAGCCTCAGAGCGACGCACGGCTTTTAATTCAGAGTTGCCTTTCTCTTAATCTGAGTTCCTAGCACAGCCTGATATCTAACGCGTAGATTTGGGAAGAAGAGATGGATTCATACCTTTCCTAAATAGCGCGTAAGTGAATGTAACGAACTCGACTGGAATTCGAACTCTGCTCTCCGAGTTCTCATATATATATATATATATATATATATATATATATATATATATATATATATATATATATATATTGGATAGATAGATGTGTTTGTGACCCTGGGTTTCACGCTTTGTCTGACGATCGCTAAAGCGTGAAACCTAGGTCACAAACTCACATCTATCCAACCAAATATGTTAGCTCTATCTCTGATATTGAGCGCTTTCTAATAAGTACCGCGCATATAATATATAAATAATTATACATATATATATTTATTTATATTTATATACACTTTTCACACACATATATATATATATATTATATATATATATATATATATATATATATATATATATATATATATATATAAATTTTAATAACTATATATATATATATAGAGAGGGAGAGAGAGGGGGGGGGAGAGAGAGAGAGAGAGAGAGGGGGGCACCTCGAGGCGGTGTAATGGTTAGCAAGCTTGTCTCGCTAGAACAATTACCACTGATTAGTGAGTTCGATTCTCACTGGGTGCTATGCTTGGAAAATCACTATAGAGAGAGAGAGAGAGTTAGTGTAAAATATGTACTCAATAGAAGAATGATAATGTCGTGTATATGATGGAACCATTAGGGTATTATTCATTTAGAATTCTTAAAACACAGTGAAACAGTAAATGCACATTTATACGGCTAGCAGTTGCAAAATGTCTATAAATTTTGGTCGAAAAGCCACCTGTGCTCGTCAATATGAAATATTGTATTATCCTTCATAACAAGGCAATACACAAGAAGAATAACACAAGAAAAAAAGTTTGGAACTCGACTGGTTTGTTCTACCCCACCAGTCACGTTCACCTGAACTTGCACCAACCGATTATCAATTTTTTCGATCGCTTCAAGAGGTTTTGATAGACAAAACTTCCTCTAATGAAAACCAGATTAAAGAATTCGTCGAACATTTTTTCCACATCAAGGCCTACGGAATCTTTCTTAAAAAGAGATTTTGTTGTGAAAATGGCTGCAGCATCTTTAATGAAAATTTTTCTCGATTTTTCTTTTTTACGGCCCGACTTCTGATGTACTGTACTTTGCGCAGCCCACTGTTCGAAAATGGTTGCCCCTATCTGTTCTAGAAACATAATCTAACCGACTTCATTCACATTTTATATTGCTTTCTTATCGCTGTTGTTTTTATATATTGTTTTTTAAAGACATAGATGCAAAACCTTTATTTTTCAATCTGGATAGAAAATGCAGTCAAGAAGGAGCCGTGATGTCTACAGATTCTTTTACACAGCGTTCATTTAGAAACACCGAAAAGAGACGAATATTCGCGAATCAATGAGCATAATATCTGTTGCAAGAATGGCAAGATTTAATTTTCTGCTCCATCATACTCTTCCTGTGAGATCCTTAATGTAAAATTGTTCTAGTTTTAAGGCGTTACCTTTTTTGTTCGCCTGGTGAGATCCTTAGCGGTAGTTCTTTATTAATTGCTTAAGCAGTTCGGATACGACGGTAAGTTCAAAGCTGTACTTATTAACAGTCATTTCGTTTTCGTATTTGGTGAATGGCTTTTATTCATATACATTGGGTGATGTCATTCTCACGTCTGTTTTCCTTGTTATCAATAAAATTACTCTTTGTTGCAATCTTATTCTGAATAATTTTCATACACAAATATCAGTCGTATTCCTATGTTAGAAATACGTTTATTTTTTTTAGTCGAAATGGTAATGATGATTGGGTTTCTGGAATGAATGCAAGAGAAAGTGGATATTATGAGGCTTGAACCCTTGATTTGAATATGTCAAGATTAAAGTACTCAGGGAAGCAGCCACGTGGTAGTCTGTTCCCCAAAGTTGCAGTTTCGAAAAAAAAAAAAAAAAAAAAAAGAAGCTGTCAGAACGGAACTTCTTTCTTACATTTGTAACACGGGGAAAATATGGAGGATTCGATTCTATGGAAGCACCAGGAAAGGTTTGAATTGGTAGAACTAAAGAATGAAGCTCTTCTGAATATTTGCCATGGAAGTAGCGATAGATTAACGACAGTCTTGTAACATGGTATATGAGGGGAAAGTGGTTGTAGAGTGGAAAATAAGTCATCACCCACAAGACCGCGTAACGATTCAGAGTTCTATTAAGACTGGAAAGCGAGAATTCAGCAGCTTCAGCCAAAATATGGCAGTAATACACTAGTTTGGGCTTGACTTGACGCTTGTAAAGAAGGTGAAAGATATTTTCTGGGGCGATACAGTGAGCCATCCATTTTCTTAGTTTATTTAGCAATTAATTGTATATATGAGTCCCACTTGAGATGGCAGAAGAATTTGGCTACTTCCTGGAGTGATATAGTGAGCCAACCAAGTCTTGAATACACGCATCTCTTTACTCAAGACCAGATATTTTAACAAAATTCTTAACAGGAATTAGACTGTCATTTGAACTTTTACAGATTCTGTTTTCCATGTTGATAGCCATTGTCACCTCATACTTTTTCAGTTGATCTGATGCCAATTTGAGCACCCAATGGCAAGTTGGCTACTTCAAAATGAGGGTCTCCACACTGTCTCTAAAGTTAACATTTAATTAAGGATTAGGGTAGTTGAAATAGTAATGTCGACTGATATAAATGGAAAAGGAGATGGTAGGAAGTGGAGATTACGAGGGTAAAAAATAGATCTTTAATTTGAAGAGGTTAAGGCTGTAGTGCTCAAGGAAACGTCCACGTAGGAGTCTGTTCCACACAATGGCTGTTCTTGGGGAGGGGGAAGCTATCTGAAATCTTCTTACATTTGGAAGACAATGGGAGAATAAGCGTGATTCTACTCTATGGAAAGGTCTGAACTAGTGGAATTAAAGAATGAAGCTTTTCTGAATATTTGCCATGTAATTAGCGATAGATTAATGAGTCTTGTAACATGGTATCTGTGAGGAAAGTGGTTGTAGAGTGGAAAATAAGTCATCACCCACAAGACCGTGTAAACGATTCAGAGATCTATTAAGACTGGAAAGCGAGAATTCAGCAGCTTCGTCCGAAATAGGGCAGTAATACACCAGTTTGGGCCTGACTTGACGCTTGTAAAGAAGGTGAGAGATATTTTCTGCGGCGATGCAGTGAACCGTACATTTCCCAGTTTATTTAGCAATGAATTATATATATGAGTCCCACTTTGAGATATGGAGTGAACTTGTCTCAATAGATATTAAGGAGGTATTTCTGCCGCATCCTGTAAAATAGGATTAAAGCCAAATAACTAAATAAATCTCTCAGTGTTTAAGGGTTTTTT